ACGTTTCTCTCCTGTACCTGGGGCTGCTCTGGGAGGCCTGAACTGGCTGTGGGACCGCTTCCTGGGCCACAGCGCACAGTGGGTGCTGCCAGCCTCACACCTGCTCCCTGGCCCGTTGGCCGCAGCTGGCCTTGACGAGCGTTGTTGGAATTCCTCTGCTCTCAGGTCTCCGAGGGCACAGGACACAGCTGGCAAAAGGTTAAGCTGCCCATGTCCCTGCTGTCGGGCAGGGTACAGTCTGGATGCGAGAGGCCCCTCCCCAGAAGGCAGCGCCCTTCCTGACTGTGGGAACTGGCTATATAAGGTCCCACACACCTGTACCCCCAGAGGACCCACCTGGCCTGGGAGTGTCTCTGGCCAGATCAGCAGGTGGGGGCTGCAGGGCTGGGGCTGAGCCTGGGGGAAGCTGAGACCCAGGATGGGCACCCAGGGCTGGCTCAGGTCCTGTCCAGCTGGGCCCAGACTGGTCATTCTCATGGCTTGTGCTCTGGCCTGTGCTCTGCTGTTACCAGCTCAGGACAGTGGGAGCTGGAGGGGCGGGAGGGTGTGGGCTGGGACATTGTTTGTCTGTCATTTAACTGTTCACCGTGTGCCACCTGTGTGTGTTCTGTGTGCTGTCTGTGTGCCCCCTGTGTGTGTTTTCCAGCTCTCTCTCTCTCTCTCTCTCTCTCTCTCTCTCTCTGTGTGTGTGTGTGTGTGTGTGCCATCTCTGTGGGCAGCTCTGCGAGTGCTGCATCCTCACAGCCCCTGAGCCGCACTCCCCTGCATGGGAGACACCAGCCTGCGTCATGGTAGGGCCCTGCCGGGTTGTGGGAGAGCTCGGTGATGCAGTTGGTGGTGGGAAGGTGCTCTGCTCACTACACAGGGCTCTGACGTGAACTGTAGCATCCCCGCACTGCTCACCCATGGGGTGGCTGTCAGGGCCCTGGGTCCCACCACACGGTCACCTCTCCCTCTGTGTGTGGGCTGTGTGCCCTGGGCTGGGTGTGGCCTCCGGGCCTCTGAGGATGAGGCTGATCAGCAGGTGCTCACCTGGGGGACACGCCCTGTGCCCTCTGTAGGCTGGGAGCCCACTCAGCGTGCTCAGGTCTCCTGCACCCAGACGAGGCTGCAGAGGCCTGGAGTGGGGCCAGCTCAGAGGGCCAGGGTGTGGCCTGGCCACAGACTGACCACGTGTGCTGTGCCCTCTCCAGGATCCCCACGAGGCAGGGTTTCCTGTGGGGGACAAACAGGACCTTTAATATCTCTGTGTTGCTGTGACCCTAGTTTATGGGGTAAATGAGTAACGAGGCAGAGCACCGCAGGGCCAGCCGTCTGCTCTCCCAGGTGGATAACAGGAGGTGGTGGCCGTCAGTTGGATGACAAGAGAGGGTGGGCATGGTGGGTGTCAGGAGGGGGTGGACAGGTGGGTGTCAGGAGGGGGTGGGTGTCTCGTGTTGGAAGCAGTCAGTGCTCAGGAGGTGGGTGCCTGTGGTGGTGGGGACAGAGCTGCTGAGTGCCGAGTGAGTGCAGTGGGGAGATCCCAGCTGAAGACAGACACTGAGGACAGGGCCAGGGAGTCAGTCGCCTGCCCACTTCGCATCCGAGTGGCTCCACGGGCCGTGCCCCGGCTGGGTCTCACATGGGCACGATACCTCTGCAGCTGTGGAGGCTGGGAGCTCCTGGTGCACATGAGAGCAGGTAGCGTGGGTTCGGGCTCTGTGCCCCTGGCTCTGTACCCCCTGAGGGTGACAGGCCCCCTCCAGCCCCGGCTGCCTCCCCTGTCCCTCCAGGTTCCAGGCTCATGGCCCCACCCAGGAGGGTGAGCTCCAGCACCATGAAGGGCATCCTGGTCCTCAGTCTCATCGCAGCACTCGCTGTGGCCTCCGGAGGTGAGAGAAGCTGTGTGGGACCCACTTGGGGGATGATAGGCGGGGGTAGGCATTGGGTGGATGACAGGAGGGTTAGTTGGGTGTCGGGTGGGTGACAGGAGGTGGTGGGCGTCGGGTGGGTGACAGGAGCGGGTGGGTGTCGGGTGGATGAGAGGAGGTCGTGGGCATCACCAGGCACTTGCTGGGATGCCAGGGGCCACCTCTCAGGCAGTGGCTCATGGGGTTCGCGAGGTTCCCCGTGCTCTCTCCTTTGGAGCGGCCCCGACTGTGGGGTGCTGAACAGATGGGGCAGCTCATTGTCTTGTCAATTTGGGGGTCCCCAGAAGGTTGGGATTCATCCTCTTAACTCTGAGTGGGTGTGGTGTTCTGCTCTGTGTCACCAGATGGAGCCACGTGGGCTCTTTTGTCTCTGCAGGGGTCCCTGGACTGTCCACAGTGCTCTTCATTTGATGCCCCCTGTGACGGCAGCGTTGTCTCTCCATGTCCTGATGGCACCTATACCAGCTGCATCACTTCCTGTGCCAGCTGGCCTGCAGGTCAGCCTGGGCTGTGTGCCCCCCCACCCTGGGACTGTCCCCTGGCAGGCCTGGGGAGGGCTGCCAGGCTGGGAGGGAGGCCTGAGATGTGGCCGGGCTAGGCCAGGGCTGGGGGTCATAGAGCAGCTCCTGGCCAAGGGGAGACGGGTCAGTCAGGGATCATTTTGGAGCCTTCTTGGGGCTGTGGAAGCAAAGGCGGCTCAGGCGGCCAGCTCTGCCTGGGCCTGCATCGCCCTGTTCCACTGCCTCACCGCGGGGCAGCTCCTGCCTGGTGAGTTCCTCCACACTTCTCACCTCGGACATTTCCACACTGGACAACAGCAGGCAGAAGAGTGCGGGGACCGTGCGTGCCCCTTGTCCATGTCAGCAATGACCGACACTGTTACTTTACTGTAATGTGTTAAAGTGAACATGTACGTGTGTCTGAAATCCCTGCATAATTTTTTCAGAATATACAATTTTCATAAACTTTAGAAGACCCCATTGTTGCATGGATTTAAAATTTTTCTTCACTGAAGTAAACTAATATTTTAATTCTATTTCTCCAGGAGCTTTGTGACGTGCCCTCTTGTATGTGTGTGTGTGTGTGTCTGGTCATTTTCCCTAGAGAAACTTCACTGTCATCTCTGATAAGAGCTTTTAAAAAGATATAACTAGCGTTCTGTTATCATAGCTAAGACATTAACTGTAACTCTGTCATTTCTTCTAATACTTGGGCCATCTTGAGTCTCTCTGGGTTGTTTGAAAGACACTGTGATGCTGTGATTAATATGCAAGCTAGGTCTCCGCATTGCCGTTTGCTGTTGGGATTGATTTTTTATAACAGCTCCTGTTCCATTCTTGGTTCCGTCCCAGGATGTGTGGCAGAAATGGGTGCATCTGTCCGCAGCCGCCCTGCTCTGGCTCTGACTGGTTGCTTCCTGTGATGTCATTCAGTTGTTCTCCTGTTGTTGCACATGGGTTTGCAGACAAGGTGCAGCAAATCTAATTGATTATTCTCATTTTTTAAAAAAGATTTATTTGAAAGTCAGAGTTACACAGAGAGAGAAGGAGAGGTGGAGAGAGAGAGAGAAGAGAGAGAGGAGTCTTTCATCCACTGGTTCACTCCCCAGTTGGCTGCAACGGCGGCTATTGCACTGATCTGAAGCCAGGAGCCAGGAGTTTTTTTCCGGGTCTCCCACACATGGGTGCAGGGGCCCACAGACCTGGGGCATCTACCTTGCTTTCCCAGATGCATAAAGCAGAGAGCTGGATATGAAGTGGAGCAGCCGGGACTCAAACTGGCGCCCAAGGGGATGCCGGCATTGCATGCAGTGGCTTTACCCGCTACCCCACAGCTCTGGCCCTGATTATTCTCATTTTAGGACTGGAGGGTGGTCTCCAGGCGGTCACTTGGACTGCCCACTTGTAGGCCCCGCCCTCTCCTGGGTCTGGCCTGCATTTCTGCTGCTCCCCTGCTGCACAGGTGTGGCTGATGGAGCAGCAGCTTTCTCTTCCCAGGAACCCTTGCCGCTGCGTCCAAACCTGCACTGCGCTGAGGGGAGCGTGTGTGCGCTGGCCAGAAGCCGCTGCATTTAGTATTTACATATTTTCATTTTATCTCAGGTGACACAGAGCCAGCGAGAAGTCTTCCATTTGCTTGTTCACGCCCACATTCCCCAACAGCAGAGGCGGGGCCAGGCCAGACAGGACGGGGAGCATCTAGGTCTCCGTCTAGGTCTTCCCGTGGTGGTGCAGGAGGAATTCTAGTCCTTGAGTCATCACTGGCTGCTCCACGCTGCTCCTCAGCAGCAAGCTGGAGTCAGGGTGCAGCCAGGACTTAGGGGGATCAGGCACTACATTAGGGGATCAGGCGCCCCCAGAGGGGTCTCCAGGGCTGTGCCCACGCCTCCCCTGGGAGCAGCACCTGGCGCTCCCCAGCAGTTCTCAGACTTCGGGATCCCAGGGCCCTGTAGGACTCAGGTCTCCCACATTACTGAGGAGTCCAGAGAACTCTGGTTTACGTGCACTTCCCCTGTCAATATTTACTGTCTTGGAAATTCCAGCTAAGGAAGTTTATAAACCTTCATTAGTTCATCCAAAATAGCAAGCAGCACCTTACCCATCAGCACGTACTTGGCGAGTAAACACAGTAGTGAGGAGTGTGGCGTTGTCACATACCAGACAGCTGGAGGCTCACACATGTGTGCATTCCCATGTGGAAAACCCCACCCTGTGTTTGTGAGGGAGAGAGAACGAGGCACAGGCAGTGTGGTGCTGGCCAGAAGTGGTTAACTCAGCACCCCCAGAAGAGCCCAGGGCTTGGGATTCCTGAGCCCCCGTGTGAGAACCGCTGCTTGTGAACAAAGCCCTGTTTTTGTTTTGTTTTGTTTTGTTTTTGAAAAGATTTTTATTTATGTATTTGAAAAAGTTACAGAGAGCATGGTTGGGGCGAGGTGGGCAGAGAGGGATAGATCTTCCAACCGCTGGTTCACTCCTCAAATGGCTGCAATGGCTGGAGCTTTTTCTTTTCTTTTCTTTTCTTTTCTTTTCTTTTCTTTTCTTTTCTTTTCTTTTCTTTTCTTTTCTTTTTTTTTTTTTCTTTTCTTTTCTTTTCTTTTTCTTTTTCTTTTTTTTTTGACAGGCAGAATGGATAGTGAGAGAGAGAGAGAGAGAGAGAGAGAGAGAGAAAGGTCTTCCTTTTTGCCGTTGTTCACCCTCCAATGGCCGCCACGGCTGGCGTGCTGCGGCCAGCGCACCGTGCTGATCCGAAGGCAGGAGCCAGGTGCTTCTCCTGGTCTCCCATGGGGTGCAGGGACCAAGCACTTGGGCCATCCTCCACTGCCTTCCCGGGCCACAGCAGAGAGCTGGCCTGGAAGAGGGGCAACCGGGAAAGAATCCGGCGCCCCGACCGGGACTAGAACCTCGTGTGCAGGCGCCGCTAGGTGGAGGATTAGCCTATTGAGCCGCGGCACCGGCCATGGAGCTTTTCTGATCTTAAGGCTGGAGCCAGGAGCTTCTTCCAGGTCTCCCAGGTGGGTGCAGGGCCCAAGCTCCTGGGTCATCCTCCTCTGCTTTCCCATCCATAGCAGAGAGCTGGATCAGAAGAGGAGCAGCTGGGACTCATATGAGATGCTGGCACTGCAGGCGGCAGCCCTATGTGCTACCCTACAGTGCCAGTACCCCAAAGCCCTGTGTTTTAAAAACGAGGTTTATTTCTTTCTCCTGCTTGAAAACAGATTTAGCAGCAGTCACATACCAGTACACCAACAGTCAGGACAGGCTGGGCCCTCCTTTCTCTTCTCAGCCTATACCCCACACGCTCAGAGACTGGGCGGGCTATCGGGGCAGACCTGGGGGGTCTGGGTCATCAGTGGTGGCCAGCGTGGTGTGGAGGCCAGGATGCAGTGGCTCCGTCCTGACAGCACGGTCATGATAAGGCCTCTTCCCTCGCAGACTATCTGACTGTAGGGACCGGCGATGCACAGTGCCCTTCTTGCATAGGAGTTAATGATGCCCCCATGTGTAGAGATAAACCTGCCATGTAACCCAGGAGAACGCTGTGTCGATGGGCTTGCAGAAGTCGTGCAAGGTATGTCTTGGGATCCAGTTCCTCCAGGGGTCCTGAGATGCAGGTTCACAGAGAGGTGGGGGAGGCGCCCTGACACAGGGACGGGGCCAGAATGCCTGTGAGCGGGAGAGAGGCTCCAGTGCTGTCTCAGGGCTGCCTTCTCAGGGCAGGGCTGCTTCCCCTGCTGCTGGCCCAGGGCCTCCACCTGTGCTGGCTGTCAGTCACCAGGCTGCTTCATTCCACAGGTGGGGGTGGGGTGGCCTCTGCACACCTGAACTCCTCTACCTGTCACACTTGGCGCAGTGCTAACTTAGCGGGCGGGGTCCCCTGGTGGAAAGTGTCACATTCGGCTTCCAAATCCAACAATCGTCCTTTCTGATGAAAGCAATGGGTTCTCCTGGGGCTACACAGCAGACCAGGTCCCACAGCTGCAGGCCAGGACCCTCATGGGTGGGTCCCTGGCAGGGGCAGGTCCTGCAGAGCTCAGAGCCTTGCAGGTCTGCTCCTCACCAGCAGGGGGAGCAGGCTTCCCCAGGGCCATGTGGGCATCAGGCATGGATGTTAATTGCAGTCCTGGCAGAGACTATCATATGTAACTGCCTAAATGGAATAATTATCTTCCCCATGGAGTATTTTCTACTGCTGACTCACCAACAAATCCAAGAATAAAGACGAGTTGCTCTCTTTCACATGAAAGTCACTTCAGTTACATCATTGTGTCTTTTGAAATATCTATTTTTAACTACAATCTAGTAGAATGGTAAATAAATTTATCAGTGCATATAATAAATATAATCTTCATTGCTAAATTCACTACAGATGGTAACAATATATCCATATAACCTAACATTTATTGCCAAATTACTGACTTTAATTAATTTATCTCTGGAACTTTAAAAAGTCCTGAAGTGCTTACTTTAATTTCAACTTGTTCTTCCATTTCTTTAGTTTTTATTGTAGTGTATTCCTTTTCAAGCCTAAGAAAAAGAAAAAAGAAGTAAAGGTATGCTTCCACTCATAAACTGTTATTAAATTATAATAATACATATATCAATAACATAATTTCAATTCTTCCCAGCTTATAACTTGAGATATTTATCTGAATAGTTACACAGATTCTTACAAAATAACACTTCATAAATTACAAAAAATAAGAGCCCTATAAAAGCAAAGTATAGGGGCCAGCAATCATAGAGTAGTGAGTTAAGTTGCTGCGGGCAATGCCAGCACCCTGTTCTAGGAGTGCCAGTTTAAGTCCCAGCTGCTCCCTCCCTATCCAGTTTCCTGGTAAAGGAGTGATTGATAGCCCAAGCACTTGGGTCCCTGCCATCCACATGGGAAACCCAGATAGAGTTTCTGGCTCCTGGCTTTGGCCTGGCCCAGATCTAACTGTTGTTGCCATTCCGGGAGTGAACTACCAGATGGAAGATCTCTGTCAGTCTCTCCCTCTTTCTCTCCCCCACCATGCCTTTCAAATAAATAAATATGTGGGTGGGAGGGAAGTTATGGGGCGGGGGGAAGCTATTGTAATCCATAAGCTGTAATTTGGAAATTTATGTTCATTAAAAAACAAACAAATAAATAAACAAACATCTATTAAAAAAAAATTGCAGTCCTGGATTTCTTAGTGGTCTGCCTGGCTGTCTTCAGCGTCACCAGGTCCTCAGTGTACACGGGGCCTCCGTCCAGCTGGACTCTGGGGTCTGGACAGTAGACAAGGACCCACAGCTGCCCCCAGGTGTCACCCAGAGCAGCCCCCATCCCCAGCTCCTCACGTATTTCCGGAACACTGGGAATCCTAGCGGGCATGGCTCTTTGTCCTTTAAACTCCCTGGGATGTCTACACTGCTGTGGGTTTTACCTCCGGAGCTGGGAGCTGGGCTGTGCGGGGGCTTGGTGGATCCTGTCCTGTGTCCTCTGCTGCAGGGAACTGGGAGGTTTTTCCTCGTAGCGCTCAAATTGGGGAATTGGGTCAATGCCATCAAATGTGAACTTTTTAAATTGTTTTTGCCCAGGGTCACTTTTTAAAAAACTCAGCAGAGAAGTACACAGGTCCACTTCTTCCTTTAGAAAATATTTATTTATTTATCTGAAAGGCAGAGTTACACAGAGAAAGGAGAGGCAGAAAGAGAGAGAGAGAGAGAGAGAGAGAGAGAGAGAGAGATGTCTTCCACTCACTGGTTCGCTCCCCAATTGGCCGCCCTGGCTGGAGCTGAGCTGATCCGAAGCCAGGAGCCAGGCACTTTTTTTTTGTTGTTGTTGTTTCCCATGGGGATGCAGGGGCCCAGGGACTTGGACCATCTTGTACTGCTTTCCCAGCCATAGCAGAGAGCTGCATGAGAAGTGGAGCAGCTGGTTCTTGAGCTGGCACCCATATGGCACTGCAGGCGGCAGCTTTACTCGCTATCCCACAGCCTTGGTCCGGTGTCTTCCTAACACACTAGCCCAGCCTCAGTGCCCTGCCTGGCGGCTGAGGGCAGGAGCCGCCCTGCCAGGTTCTGGTGCTCTCCCCCCGGGCTGGCGCTCTCCTCCTTCTGCTCCGGCCCTCGCTCTTGCTCTGTCTGCACGCGGTTACCGCGTCCCTTCTGGCTGCTTTTGCCTCTGCTCAGCGGAAACTGAGGCAGGCAGCACTCCGCTCCAGAGAGGAGTGGGGTCTGGGCCCGGCCTGGAGGAGGAGGACCCAGGCCTGGTCCTCCTGGGTGAGGCAGGGGTGCCTGCCTGTCTACCCTGGGTCGGCCGCACCTGTCTGTCATCCCCTGATGGCTGACCTGGAGAGGCAGGCAAGTTCCGAGCCCCGCGGCCCTGGCCGTGCAGCTGACTGGGTGCTGGTGCTGCTTGCTGGGCCGAGGCGCTCAGGTGCCCCCGCCTCTAGGGACCACCGTAGTGTTCACGCTCTGGGTCAAAGGCTGCTCCGACATCACCGACGACCACTGCCAGCTCCTGTCGACACCAAACATCAAGATAGGGAACATCGTCTTCCAGCAGCTCATCTGCAGCGACGCCACCCAGATCCCGGATAACCTGAACTCGGGCGCGGCCCCAGCAGCCACCCCCTTAGCCATTGCCACTGGTTTTGCGCTGTTGTGGCTGCTCAGAGCCGCCCTGGCCCCTCCCCTGGCGCCCCGGCCCCGCCCTTCTGGGACAACTCCGGCCCCAACCGCAGCTCTGCCCTCCTGCTCCGGCCCCGCCCCTCCGTGACCACCCAGGCCCCGCCCCCAGCTCCGCCCTGTCCCTGCCCCCACCTCTCCAAAGCCGCGGTGAAGCTACACCTACCAGGGTCTTGCCTGCATCTGCCTGTGTCCTGCAGGCCTGGCCGTGGTGAATGAAAGAGCCCACGGGGGTGAAGACCAGGGGCGCCGGGCGCACGGGTGCGGCCTGGAGGGAACGGGTTCTCCGCCTGAAGAGCCAAAGTGACGCCATTTAAAGAAAATAAAAGAAAAAGCAGCCTCCGTTTCCTGCAGCTGACCTGAGTCCTTGTAAAAGCAGGCATCCAGGCATTCCCGAGACATCAAAGCTGACCGGGGACAGCTCAGCAGACCAAGGGCAGCTCATAGAGATTACAAACGAGGTAACTCCCTGACCCCAGGCCAAACGAAGACCCCCCCCATCTCCACCCCCTGCCCGTTCAACTGAGAGCAACCCGGGGCAGCCCCGTCCAGTCACCAATGCCCTGTGCTGTAAGCCCCCGCTGATGTAACCCTTGGTTTTTCCTTTAAAAGCGCTCCCAAACAAAGGCTGGGCCTTCCTCTGACCTCCGCTGCATGGCTGGTCAGACGAAGTCCCTGCCGCGCTTGTACTTCCAAATAAACCTTGCTTTTGCATTTCCGTATGATTGGGTCCTGATAGCTTCTTGGGGATCCACTTATCTGGACATAGTACGCCGTTAACAAAAGCCGGGGGGTGGGGGACCCGGTGTGGCTGTCGTCCTGCTCCTCTGCTCGCAGTCACCTTTGTGCACGTGCACCCCGGGCCGCCCACAGCCCGGATCCTGGCTCCTGGAGCCACACCACGTCTGGGTGTCCCGGATGCTGCTTTTCGGGAATTCCAGGACCCGCTCTAGGTCTCAGGCGACGGGCAGCTTGTCCTCTGATGGCCCTCAGTGGGGAGCCCTATGGGAGTATCCCCAGGTGGTGGAGGCCCAGGGACCCGTTCCTGAAGGGTCAGGAGCCTGGGCCACATTTCTTACCATATCACTTCTCTTAAAAATAATAGGTCTTGCAGAAGGAGAGGATAGAGAGGAGGAGAAAGAGCTTTTGTCTGCTGGTTTAGTCCCCAAATGCCCACAACAGCCAGGGCTGGGTGAGGCGTAAGCCAGGAGCCTGGAGCTTCCTCCAGGTCTACACATGGGTGCAGGGGCTGAAACACCTGGGCCATCCCCCGCTGCTTCCCCAGGTGCATTAGCAGGGAGCTGGATTGGAAGTGGAGCAGCCAGGACTAGAACAGTGTCCATATGGAGTGCTGGTGCTGCAGGCGGTGGGTCTACCTGCTATGGCACAGCGCCGGTCCTGAGGTTCTGATTTAACAAACAGATCTTGGTTAGAAGAAGGCGCAGGGTGGAATCCACGCCTGTGAGTTGGCCTCTGCCCCAGCAGCCCCTCCCATCCCAGGGCCCCCAGGGGAGGGTCGTGTGTGGGGCCTGGGGGCCAGGCCAGGGGAAGGGCTGTCCCCCGTGCTCACAGGGTGCTGGCCAGGGCTCAGCACCGTATCCTGGGAGGAGGTAACTCATCCCTGGGCGGCTCCACAGGCCCTGTCTTGGAGACAGCGTGGCCAGGGGTCAGGTCGAATCCCAGCCCCAGAGCCTTGGCTGTGGGACAGGTGTGGTCACAATCGGGCCCCAGAGGGTTGTGAGGGTGTCAGCCGGTCTTCCTGGGAGACACTCAGCTGCCCCTGGGCCCCACCCCCACACCTGCCCCCCTTGTTCCTGTTCCTGCCAGCAGCTCCCACCCTGTTCGCCTCCCTTTTCTGGCCCTCGTCTGCAGCAGTGGGCTGACCTCTCCTGGGGTCCTGGAAAGGCCCATTCTTATAGCCCTTCTCTCCAACGGGTACTGCTACCTGGAAGGGGGGGGTCCTGGCTTGTATGTGCAGTCCAGAAACTCCCATGCTGGGCGTGTTCATGGAGCCACACGTGAGGTTGGCACGGCCATGTCCTCAAACCATCATCACCCATGGGGAAACACCCCAGGTCCCTCCCCTCACTCACTCTCTGCCACCTGCCTCTCCCCTCCCCAGCCTCTGCTGGCAGCAGTGAGAGCAAGGGTGGCATGGGGCTCCCCCAACCCTCGCTGTCCACGCCGGCCCCACACCTGGAGACAGGAGTCCCACGAGGGGAAAGGGGCTGGTGGCTTTGGGCAGCACGGAGCAGGGATGCTCTCTGCAGAGACTCGCACAGTCTCCCATTCTCCTGGCCCTGGACAAAACCCCTGTTCCCACAGACTGGTCCTGGTAGGGATCACTGTGCACCGCCCTGTTGTGGTGACGCTCGCCAGGAAGGGTGGGTCCGTGTGAGGGACAGGGAGCTGAAGCAGGCGCATCAGGTCAGGCCCCCCCCCCCCCCCCCCCCGTGTGACTTGGGTGGAGCAGTGTCCTGTGGGAGGCTGGCTTTGTGCCATACTTTCCTCTCCCAGTTCCCTGTACTCCAGCTCAGCAAGCTGGGGCCTGCACAGGCGGGGGCCTGCCAAGGGCTGGGAGCAGAGGTGCTACATCCCCCAGCCCCAGGGAAGGCCTGGAGGGAGAGTGGGCCTCGGCCCTCTGCTTCCCCAGTCAGGATCAGTGTGGTGGTGGACCCTCCTCCCTGTCCCAGTTCCTCATTCAGAACCTCTTAGCTTGGGCAGCGTGGTCTGTGGGCTTCAGGGTGGGATGAAGGATGTCACAGGGCTGGGAGGAACTCGGCCTCTCCATGAGCATGGTGGCCTGGGAGCCTGAACTTGGCCATGCTTCCTCCTCCAGGGCCGGCCTTGGGTGCCCGTCACCCCGACCTTGGTTCTGCTGCTGCTGGGAGTTGACCCCGCTGCCCATCTTCCTGCCTTCAGGACTTCCTCTGGTTCTTTGTTTACTTGGACTCTGGGGGCCTCATTTGCATCCCCGACCCCCTCTTGCCCACTTCCATGTTTTCTTCCCTCTGAACTGTTTACAAATAAAACTGCATTTTGTCTTTTCTGTTGTTGGCATTGAGTCTTTCTTTCTTTTTATTTCTGCTGTAAACTAGTGAGTAGCTTTCTGCCTGGACGCACCAGCTTCTGCCTGTCTGCGTATTGATTTAAGTTGCTGTCCAGGACCAGGTAAAGGATTCTCTCCCCAGCCCCACGCCCTTGAGGCCGGAGTGCTGCAGGGAGCCAGGAAGGCCGCACCTGCGTGAGCTCCCACCGCTCGGTCAGCTCCAGGCTGGGCGTCTGTGCTCTGTCCGAGGCTCGCTCCCCACACTGAGGGCCCCTGGGGGCTGGGCCACACGGGCGGTCTGTTGTCCTGGGTGCTCTGTCTGGGCACTGCGGGTTTCTGGATGCTGTCCAGCTGGGCCGCCTCCCAGAGTTGCCCACTGTGGACACCTTCCTGCCACGTTGCTTTCCTCACCTCCCATCTCTCCACCATGTGGGCCCTGCCCACTCTGCTGTCAGCTGCGTGGGACCCAGGGCGTGTTTTCTTGGCCTCTGTCCTGTGGGCACTGGGTTAGCTGCAGTATTTTGCAGTCACAAACAACGCTTCCATAGTAGCTAGCTGTGAGCACCCCACTTTCATGCTGCTGGCCACGTGGCTGCTTCTCTGAGCCATTCCCGGGCCAGACTCGTGAATCCTGGGCGTGCTCTGCTGGGGCTCCCAGACCGCCCTGTGGGGGTGGTGGGACCTGCATTTTAATGGTTGGCCTGTTTTTGATGCCCTGCCACACCCCGCACTATCTTGTAAGTTTGAGGTCTGCTAATCTGATTGGTGAGAAGTAGTTTGAACATTTGTCTTATGTTTAAAGGAAATTATATATATACATATATAATCAATCAAGCTATCTATAATGTCTGTGTCTCCTTCCTACTTTTTTCTGTGGGAGTTTGGTTCTTTACCCCTTGTTTAGAAAGTATTAGGAAACTGGCGCAGTTTTAGCCAGGTGGCCACATGGCCCAACCTCTGTGGTCAGGCTCCACCCCTATCTTAATGAGATTTGCTGTTCCTGCTTCCCTGCCCGCCCTTGGGCAAAGTTTTAAAAGGGCCAGTTCCTGAACACTGTGCTCTCTTGGCCCTTCCCTCCTGCGTTCTCTTGGTTCCTCTCTCTAGCCTCCTCCTCTGGTCTCTTGGCTCTCTCTCTCAGCTCCTCTCTGCTCTCTCCTCTCATCACCTCTCTCTTCTCTCCTTGCTAGCTCCTCTCCTCTCTCTCTCTCTTATACTCTCTCATTTTCCCTTCGCCACTCCTTCACTCCGGTCTGTTGGGTGTTCCCCAATAAACCCTTTCCCTTATTCTGGCGCTGGGTGTGTTTTGTGATGGCTAACATTAATATATAACAGAAAGCATTTATATTTAATTGGGGAAGCCAATATTGTAATACTCTCACCAGGGGTGAGATTCTAAGTTTATCAAAATGTCATAATATTTTATCTTGCTTAGGTTATATATCATAATTATGATAGGAAATTAAAGAATTACTCATATTATCAGGGCTTCATGAGGGTTAATAGAACTAATGCACATTTGTAAGCGCCACAGCTGAGAAGCCAGTCATCACGAACAGACGTGGGCAGGTGCGTGCTGCGGCCTGGCGACTGCTCCGTGTAGGTTTGTGGTTGAAGTTCTGGCATTCCTTGCCTTCAGGTTATGGTGATGGCTTCACTTTGTGTAATTTAACTTTTCCTCACTCCGTAGGATTTGGGAAGATAGAAAAGTTCGTCAAAAATGGAATTAAAGATAAGTTGAGGGGCCGGCGCTGTGGAACAGTAGGTTAACACCCTGGCCTGAAGCGCTGGCATTCCATATGGGCGCTGGTTCAAGACCCAGCTACTCCACTTGCAATCCAGTTCTCTTCTGTTGCCTGGGAATGCAGTAGATGATGGCCCAAGTGCTTGGGCCCCTGCACCCGCATGGGAGACTCGGAAGAAGCTCCTGGCTCCTGGCTTCAGCCTGGCCCAGTGCTGCCATTGTGGCCATTTAGGGAGATTCTCCCACCCCATCCCTGTAACTTTGCCTTTCAAGAAAATAAAAATAAATTTTTTTAAAAAAAATTACGTTTGTTTTGGTGCAAAACATTTTTGAAATCCATGAACAAGGACTGGCGCTGTGGTGTAGAAGAAAAGTGGCCGCCAGCAGTGCTGGCATCCCATATGGGCGCCTGTTTGAGACCACCCAGCTTCTCCACTTCCAATCCAGCTCTCTGCTGTGGCCTGGAAAAGCAGTAGAAGATGACCCAAGTCCTTGGGCCTCTGCACTCGCATGGGAGACCCTGAAGAAGCTCCTGGCTCCTGGCTTTAGATCAGCACAGCTCCGGCTGTTGCGGCCATCTGGGAGTGAACCAGTGGATGGAAGACATATCTCTCTGTCTCAGCCTCTGTCTCTCTGTAATTCTGCATTTCAAATAAATAAATATATTTTTAAAAGATTTATTTATTTATTTGAAAGCCAGAGTTACACAGAGAGAGGAGAGGGAGAGGTCCTCCATCCGCTGGTTCACTCCCCTGATAGCTGCTACGGCTGGAGCTGAGCCGATCAGGAGCCAGGAGCTTCCTCCGGGTCTTAAAATGCGAGTGCAGGGGCCCAAAGACTTGGGCCATTTTCTACTGCTTTCCCAGGCCACAGCAGAGAGCTGGATCAGAAGTGGAGCAGCCGGGACTTGAACAGTGACCCATATGGGATGCCAGCACTGGAAGCAGCAGCTTTACCCGCTACGCCACAGCGCTGGTCCCATTAATAAATCTTTTTTTAAAAAAGAAATCCATGCCCAGTTTTCCCAGAGCATTCATTTTCCACGGACTTTTTGAGAGCTCCTGGAATGCCTACGTTTCCAAGGTTCTCTTGCTCCCCGCAGACTCACTTTCTGAAGTACTCGTGGTATTGGGAGACCCGCCACTAGGTGGCACCATTGCCTTCTGCTAAGCGGAAATCTCCTAACCTGGAGTTACACTTGGCGGACCACCAAGCGGTAAGTGCACCTGCTGATATAAATGAGGTCACCGTCGGGGTGCCGACGACCTCCCCGCGCCCTGGACAAACTCCTCCGCGCTCTCCTGCCCATCACCCACCTTGCTGTCGACACCGCGGACCAGACCTGGGCGCCCACCCGGCTGAGTGCGGGCGGCAGCTGTCCTGGGCAGCGCTCTTCTCCCGGAAGCCGGCAGACCCTGGTTGAGACAACCGCAGGGTGTCCAGCAGGCCCCCGGGTCCCGTCTAGGACGGCTGCGGTCGGTGGCCGGGCCTCTGAGGCCCTCACAGAAACTCGGCTATGCCGGGCGCGTTTCCTGTCTGGCGTCTTCCTCAGGCCCGCTCCGGGAGGCGCGTGCCCGTTGCTCTGGGCGCGGGTCACTCGCTCGCCCCCCAGGGACCGAGCGCAGCTTGCCCGTGGATACTGTCGCTGACCTTCATCCAGCCGAGGGTTTCTGGTCTTTTGTGCCAGCACGGTGGCTCCAGGGTGACTTTCTGGACAGGTGTCCGCTGGGTCCCTCCGGCCGCTCTGAAGCAGCCACTGTCGCCCTTTTGCTGGTCGGTCAGTCTGCTGGCCGGCTCAGGGCCGAGCCCAGCGGGCCGGCTTGTTCAGCGTCTTGGGCACATAAGGCCCCGCAGCAGGGGCGCTGCTGTTGGGTCAGGTGTTGTGGGGAGTGTAGAGAAAGTCGTCTCTAAGCAGCGAAAAATCTGGGGCTATTTTAAGATTGAGAACCTCAGGCTTGCGAGCGAACGACTCGCAGCGGCAGGGAAGCAATAAGGAACGCAGGGGCGTGCACAGGGCCCACCTGCGCTCCTCCGTGCTCACGGGGCACTGCAGGCCGCCGCCCTCCTCACTGGCGCCCCCAGGGGCTGCTCCTGCCGCCGGGAGCTGTCAGTCTGTGGCTCCGTAACTCCCCCAGCCCCCGTTTCCTAATCTGTGAAGTGGGAGTCACGGCAGAACTCACCCGGGTGTTGCTGCGAGACGAGAGGTGGGGGGTTAATGCGGGGCAGTATTTAGAGCAGATGTTCAATACATTAACTGAACGGTCATTCTGCTAAGGACATCAGAAAACAAGACTGCCATCACCTTCTGCGCTCCAGGTCCCCCTCGGGCACCCTGGCCCCGCCCACACCCAGGCTCCTCCCACACCCGGACCAGCCCACACCCGGCTCCTCCTACACCACACCCCCGGCCTCCTCGCCGCGGCTACCAGGGAGCAGCCCTTGCTGCCCGCTGCTCCGGGCCTCTGCTAGAACGTTCTTCCCGCGTTCTGTGGCCTTGGCCCCCTGGTTCTGAGCTCTGCTCCACAGCCCCTTTCCCAGAGGCCCGGAGGAAGGGGTGGTCTGGGGGCCCCGGGGCCGCCCCCCGCCACCTGGGTCTCGCCCTGCCCTCTCCCACGTCTCCTGGACGCCTCTGGCTTTGTGCTTGCACGCTGCTGGCGTGTCCTGCTCCCGGCCTCTGGAGGGGACGTTTGTTGATGGACGTCCCCAGCCCTCAGAATGCGCCTGGTGTGCACGGGGGACGGCACCCGCCTTCTGAGCCTCCAGCCTCGGCCGGGCTGGACGCCGACACCCCGGGTCCCTGGCCTGCCTTGCCGCCTGTGGCAGCGTGGTGTGGGACCGCCCAGCCCCGGAGTCCCCACTGCTTGCCGCGTTTCTGGGCGCCGTTCCCCCACAGGTGTGCTCCTTTGCAGCTCTCGCCCCCAGTGCGCCTGGGCTGCCGACGCCTGAGCTCCCCGGTATTTGGCTTGTAGATAAATCCGCACACACACACACACACACACACTCCCATTGTTGAGGTGGCTGCTCCTGTAACATGGGTCAGCCCCCGCTGCCCTTCCATCTCCACGCAGAGCCTGGCCTGCTTCCTCCCCTGCCTGGCTCCGGTCCAGACAGGGGCGCTGTCACTTAAGATGCACCTTACCTTTGGAGGGACACAGACAGCCTGGGCTCCCCCTCAGGCTCAGGATTCCAGGGTGAATCACGGTGCTTATCTACATCCCGCGCCCTGGTGTGAGTTTCGGCCCTGGCTCAGACTCCAGTGCAGACCTGGGAGGCGCTGGCGGTGGCCTGGGTGAGTGGGTGCCTGACACCCACCAGGGACACCTGGGCTGAGTTCCCGCCCTGTCAGCAGTGTCCGTACCACCCAAGTGTTCTTAAAGGAAGGGGTTTGCAGTCTCAAAACGCACGCCTGGAGAGCAGCTCGCTCACTCCCTGTCTTGTGTTAGTTTTACTTTTCTGAGTTTCATTTTCCTCCAGGAATGACAGTGATGTCCGAACGGGCGGCCTGTGTGGGCTAACTGCTGAGCTGGGACGCCGCAGCCGGCGGCAAAGGGCAGAACCACAGGAAATCGGCGCACCCGGCGGCCTTGCTGCTTCCTGCTTCCCCGGGCACAGCCTCAGGAGCTGCTGGGCCCCCGCTCAGGCTTGGTGTCTGCAGCCGGTGTTTCCTGGAGGGCCGCTGGGCCCCCGCTGGCCTTCAGGTGCTGGTCAGGTCTTCCTCTAGAGGCCACCTTTAAAGCTGCCTTCCAGCCGTCTGTTTACCGAGTCACGCCCACAAGACCCCCAGCGGCTGCCGGGCTCCAGCCAGTCTACCCATGTGCACCAGCTGTGCCGCAGCAGCCCTGGGCAGACGCCCCGCCCTGCGCCACAGCCCGGAAATCTGTACCCACACAGCGATTTCGCTGCGTTCTGCTTAATTTCACCCGCGTGTGCCCTCCTGATCCCCCGGCACCTAGTTCCTCGCAACAACATCATTGAAAGCCCTGCTGAGAGCCTCGCGTCCTATGGCCTGGTTTTCTTCATCCAGCCGTTCTTCTGCCGTCCCAGACATTTTTATGGCTGGCACTCTGTCAGACACACATGTGATGGTGCAACCAGCTCGGCTGTAAGGAGCTGTTAGCAGACGGAAAGCCTTTTCCCCATGAAAGGGCTGGGGGAGCCGGGGCTGCTGCCGCTGTGGAAACTGCGGTTCCCGTTTCGCAGTCTCTTGTGCAAGTTCTGCAGGACCCTGGAAAGATGACACGCGCTCAGCGCAGCCCCAGGAGATCCTGGCTTTAAACTGCCCCAGAGATGAACAACTGCGCTGTCACTCTCAGCAAAGCTCGGGCACGGTGTGATCTCTGTGTTGCGCTGCTCCGAGGGTCAGGTGCACAGGTGCCTGGCGCTCCTGAGATCAGAGCAGAAGGAGCTTGGTGGAGAATGAGTGGGACCCCGTCTGATTTTGATGTCCCTGTGTCTTCTAAAGCGTTGCTTTGTTTTCGATAAGGCTTAATTTTAATCTGGAACATGACCTATTGAGAGAGAGAAAAAAAGAAAATTAGTTGGCAGAAGACTATGGTATTTCCAAAGCAGAAGCACACATGGGCAATAAGCCTGGGAACGGTACTCAACATCCTCGGCTGACAGGGAAATGCAAACCAAAACCACAATCACTTTACCCCAGCAGGGACAGCTCTGAGAAGGGCAGATGGCATGGTGCTGTGAGGGCGGGGAGAGGCCGAACCCTCCTGCACTGCCTGGATTACCAACGCGGCAGCCACGCTGGGAAACAGCCCAGTGTAGAGCCCCCTCTGACACAGCAGGTCCACTGGGGGGTTTAGAAGGCATCTGTCACAGACACCTGCACGTGTGCACGAGAGAACACTCGCAGCGCAGCACAGAGCAGCACCTCGTAATCACACAGAAACAACTCTGCTCCTGCACCCTGGGCATAGACGACTATTTGTCTAGGGCTGGGGATGGGCTGAGGGGTCAGATGGAGAGGTGAATGTCCCTTTTACACTGATTTGTGAACATACTGCACACCATTCAACTGAGCGTTTTGTTTTTAAATTTTTTACTTGTTTTGTGTGTGTGTGTGTGTGTGAGAGAGAGAGAGAGAGAGAGAGAGAGAGAGAGACTAATGTGCTGGTTCACTCCCAAAATATGTACTAAGGCTGGGTCAAGCTGAAGCCAGGAACCTGGAACTCCAGTCAGGTCTCCCATGTGGGTGGCAGGCACCCATCTCTTGAGTCATCACCTGCTGCCTCCCAGGGTGTGCATTAGCAGGAAGCTGGATGGAGGGCTGGAACCCAGGCACCAGAAATGGATATGGGTGTCCCAAGCAGTGTCAACCATTATGCCAAGTGCCTTCCCCAAATTGTGTGTTCTCAATGGGTGAGTGACATGGCAGATGGCATATTTCTGTGAAATCATGGCTCGTATTACTCTATGCATCGAGAACTATGAGAAAATAACAGGAGATAAGAAGTCAGCATGTCAGGTTTCAAGGTTGTCAGAGCAGGGCAAGGGTGGAGGGACTCCTGCTGACTGAGCAGTGCCACCTGCTTCTGCTGTCTGTGCACCTGAGACCCGGGCTTCACGGGGAGGAGCCGTTTCCAGGAAAGGTGAAGAGAAACCCAGAATCCACAGGCTCCTGTTGCCACCTGCTTCTGCTGTCTGTGCACTTGCGGCCTCGGTGACAGGTACCTCTAAGTTGGTCAGTCCTGTAGCAGAGTGCAGCAGGAGCCACACAGGCACAGCAGCCCACGTCCCCTGTGGTGCTGGGATTCATGGAATGTTCTAGACAAAACTCAGGCAGCCCAGGAACACCTAGCCTTCCCTGTAATCTCCCAGCTTCAGCTCCATATGGCAGCTCCATAATGGCCATGATGTTCTCACAGACTGGCCCAGAGATGTGGCTCCACTGCCCTAGCCCCGCTGTACTGACTGTAGGGAAATGGGGTCTTGTGGCACACCAATGAATACATCAGCAGCTGCCTGATGGTGCCTCCGTTGGACCCCATGCACTTTTCCAGCTTGGTCTGTGGACTTCTTGTCTACGCAGACCCAAACAGTCCTGTACCTGCCCGTACTCCACAGCCACCAAAGTTCACCGATCTTGTGGCTCACAAGCTTCCACCATCAGCAAATTTCACACTCAGAATATTTCAACAGAAGTTTTAGAAAAGCCAGGTTGAAGTAAGACTTGAACTTGCACAAGGAAATAATTGCTAAAATGGCATTTCTCTGGACTCTGTATCTCTGGCACGTTCTCTTTTGTCATCAGCAAGACCTTAACAGAAGTCAGCCACTGGGCACACAGCTGCCATTCCCCACACACTAGTGAGGCAATGGCTGGTCCTCAAGGAGATTCCTTATCTCAGCTGCAGCCATTAAAACAGCCCACACCCCTCCTCTCCATAAAGCGTGAGCAACACCTGGCTCCCAAACTTGTCCAGACAGGTGAGTGTGGATTCCTCCTTGTCCTACACCCAACTATATTCACAGTGGACAGCTGCTGTGCACCCCACCCCCATACCACACACCCATCTCCTTGGAATGCAGACCCTGGGCCTGACATTCCAGCTGCTGTGTGTGCCCGGTATTCTAGAGCATCCTGCTTGTGGTGCAGAGACAGACGCAGTCAGCAGCTCATGGTTCTCACGTGTGTCCTGGTTAACATGTGTTCCTAAAACATTCACGTGTGGAAGGTCTAATCCCTACTACATCCATGTGACCATACTTGGAAACAAGGTTTTTCCAGCTCTACTCACACTGAGAACAGGGGATTAGGTCACAGAGGACGGCTATGTGAAGCACAGGAAGAGAGGCCGCAGGGAGACCAAACCTGCGGATGCTGGGATCACACCCTCCAGCCTCAGGATTGTGGGAGAACAAATTTCTGCTGTTTATGGCCCTTCACTCAGACATCCCCAGCAATCTAATGTGTTGGAAGATCAGAAGACCAAGTTTTCCAAGAAAACTTGAGATTAAGAAAGCAGCTAGACGAGGTAAAATGTGGAAGATGACTAACTCACAGGTGTGTGTGAAGCTAGGACTCTGTCACAGACATCTTCCTCAGAGACGTGTCCGTGGTGCTGAAGCTGCCATAGACACTCGGGGTTGAAGGTCTAACAGAAGGGATTATCACATTTCATCCCAAGGACAGGGATGACTTTGCTCGCTCTGGTCATGAAACCTGGGGTGGGGGAGTGTCAAAGGCTCACCGCCCAGCCTGGAGCCTCAAGACCTAGTGTGTTTTAGAGGAGCTCAGTGCAGGGAGCTGCCTCCTCCTGGCCACCCAGCCTGCGTCCACGGGAGCAGTGTGAGCTCCGAAGGATTTTCTGAGCCACGAGACCCAGTACATGACCTTTAGGAACCCGGTGCGGGGAGTTTCACGCATGTGAAGGGCTTTGCCATCGGAAGAGGGAATGAGACAGTGTCAGCCCTCAGAGCTGCTCACGCTGCTGGGCATTTTGTGGGCAGGTGCCTGGCTTGACAGGTTTTCCACTTGCAAAGCTTTCACAAGGCTCCACAGGTACACGCTGAGAACCAAGGTCCCGTGGTCAGGCTGTTTGCAGATGCAGATGCCAATGGGTGGGCAGGAACAGTGTGATTCTGTGGGATTCTTGGTTTCTCTCTGCCTTTCCTGGAAATGGCTCCATTCTGAGAAGCTGGGATCTAAAGCACACAGACCCCAGGGAAATGGCCTTCCCCTCCCTTATGCTGCTGAACTTCGGAACCTGCTGAGGTGACTTCTTTTCTCATATTTCTAGGTATATGGGGCAATAATGTTTAAACAGGCACACTATATAATTCACTGGGTTAAATGCGCAGATGCACGGTGTGTGGTATCTTCCCCAGAGTTGTGTGTCAGCACCCCAGCAGCCCCTGCTGTGGAACCCAGCCCTCCATCAGACTGCTGGTCAGAGAGCAGTGCTCAGCCTCACACCCCTTCTGAATACACACTCTTCAGTAAGCCTCAATGGCTACGTGGATTCTGCCAACCCAGGGAGGAATCTTAGGCCCTGACCTTGTGAAATTCCATGAGCCCACTTCTTCTCCAAAGTCCAAGGGCAAACTTTATGTCAAAAAGGTAGCAGCAGTATCTTTGTTTCAGGAAATACTGATTGTGTTTTATCTTCTTTCATGCCATGTCAAAGTGCACAACAAGAAGAAAAGGCCAATGTCAAGAAATGCATCCCATAATGCTGAAGTCTGCCGTCATATGCTACTCCTTCTGTCACCTGTTCTAAGAGTTAACAGAGAACCCTACACAACGGAAATTGCATTCTTAGGTCTATGTAACAGGAGCAGTCATTCACCAGCCAATACCATCCAGTGCCAAGCAGGGGTCAGCCCGGTGGGCTCTGAGCCTGCAGTGTGAACCAAGCAGATAGAAATCCCATGCCCCAGTGTGCTGAAGGGGAACCCACAAGATTTGTTTATGTAACAGTTAAATTCATTTAAATTAGAAAAACCGCCTCCCAAACTGAATGCTGAACAGTAGACCAAGAACCACACATCAGACGACAAAAGATGGACACCTTTCCATCAGAGGCACAGAGGCAGTTGATATAGATACAAAGGGCTCCGAAACGCTGGGGAGAAAGGAAGTTCATTTTGGTTCAACAATTTTGAAATCCACGCATCGTTTTCTCACACTATACTTTCTCCAAGAGCTTCTGGCAGGGCCCTCGGATGTGTTTTGCATATGAATGTGAGTCCATATGTGTGAGTTGCACAGACATAATGATGGCCATGGCTTTTACTAAAAAGGCTGGATGCTAATCCGTGGACTGCCAAAGGGCCTGGACATGGCTCTGATGGGAGCCCCACAGCCCAGTAAGCAAAAGCGAAACCTCTGCTGACAAGACCAGCCCTGCCCTGCCCCACCAGGGCTGTGACCCACCCCCATCTTGGCTTTTGGTTTCTGAGGCACTCAGCCCTCCACCTGTAGCCACAGCTTCCTTCTCCAGGTCATAAAATGGGAGCAGTGATAACGGCTGGCACGGGAGGACAGTAGAGCAGGGGACCTGCCCCCAGAAGGCCGTGCTGTGGCCTCACTCTGCTGCCCCCACCCTCTTAGCTTCCTCACCCCCTCAGAGCCCTCTGCTCACATGGCTCCACCCCCAGCTCCTGGCTCAGAGGAGCAGCCACAAAGCGACATCTTGGATGGCAGAGATACCACTGTCCCCTCCTGGGGAAGCCCAGAGCAGCCCTGCCCCTGCCTCTGTCAACCTGGTGCTCTGGACTCAGGGCCTGGTCAGTCTCATGGCCCCACCTACTCCACCCACAGGGGAGGTCTGGGCCCAGACCTGGGCACTGTCCCTCAGGGCTGCCCCTGGAGCAGGCAGGGGAGCTCCAACCCAGTTCCTCAGATTGGGCTTTGCCTCTCCTCCTTCACACATGTGCTCAGCCTGGCTGGGCAGGCAGAGTGGCCGGGACTCCTGGCTCCTGCCCTGCCTTGGCCCCGGGTCACTGGCTGTCCAGAGTGAGGGACCCTCTTGTGCCTCCTGGTGTCCCTCTTCACTGCCTGCCCCTGGGTCTCCCCTGCCTCCTCTGAAAGCAAGGTGTGCGCCAGTCAATCTCCTACCAGGGCTGGCACACACAGATGCTCAAAAAAGAGGGACACCCTGGAGAGAGCTTTGGTGGCGGGTGCTGCTTGCTGTATGCACTTTGCATGTTTGCTCATGGAAGCCTCATGCCTCCCTGCATGGTCACCTCGTCTTGTCCTTACTCACCATCAGGGAAACTGAGGCACTAGCTTACGGGCATTGCAGAGCCAGGACGCAAACCCAGGCTCCCTGGCCACCAAGACTCCAGCCAGGAAGTAGAGGGTGGGCCGACCCCACTCAGCACCAGGGCCTTGGAGCTGGCAGGTTGGCAGAGCCCAGGCCTCCCCCAGACCCAGCCAGGTGTGGTGCTTGTGCCTGGGTGGCCAGGACGTGGGCCTTCTGACATTTCAGCCATAGGCAGAGGCCGAGTGCCTCAGAGTGAGCCCCCAAGGCAGCCTCAGTGACAAAGCGCTGGACTGCCCTGGAAAGGGTGAGACAAGGCAGGCCCTGGCACGGCGCCTCTGCCACGTTCCCTGCTGGCACTCCTGCCTCCGGAGCCTCTCCTGAGGGCCCCACCGTGGGCCTAGGGGCACCACTTCCCCTTCATCCTGGGGCCCACCCTGAGCCCTGTTGCAGCCTGAGAGGGCTGGAGCAGGGCTGGTGCTCCTCAGGCGGTCCCTTGCCACAGCAACACCTCTCCGAGACACAGACACTGACACTCCAAGATGACAGCCTGCAGACCCGCGGTGTCCTCAGTCCTGGATCCCACCCATGCTTCTGGGCACTGGGACCACCTGAGAGCCAGGAGCCATTCCATCCCAGACACCTGCCTGCACCCGCTGTTCTCAGAAGCCCCTACTGCCTCTGATTCCACCTGCCCTGGGAACCTCCAGCCTCAGTCCCTAAACCTTAACCAGCAGCTGGGTGCCGAGTCCCACTGAATCCTTAACCAGCGGTTGGGTGCTGGATCCCACTGAGCCCCAGGAATGGGGTGGAGCAGAGGTGAAGACTGGGGCCTGCTGCGTTTGTCAGCAGCTCTGCCTTAGCTGTGGCCCATCTCTCGGCTCCTCCCGCTGCCATCAGTGCTTCCACACCGTGCACTGGCAGGGTTCAGCTTCTGATGAGAATTGGATTGGCTTCAGCCTTACCCGCATGGCAGCAGGGGTGTAGAAGCAGGTGGCATCCGACCTGGTGGAATGTTCTGCCAGAACACAAGACAGGCAACTGTCAGGGTGACCAGACAAGGCATGGAGCCCTGGACCGGGCACCAGTCCCACTGAGACAGTCCCTTTCCTCCCCTGAGAAACAGTCCTCAAGCCCAGCAGAGCCACCGCTGTGGGAAGTCGCGAGGCCTCCTGCCGCATCTGCCTGTCTTTCTGTGTGTCCTCTGCACTCTGCTGGCTTGGACTGTGTCCTCACGAGTCTCCCGGGGAAGAGCTGATGACTACAGCGGTGTAAAGAAACAGCTCGGCTGCTCCCCCACGCTTCAGCAGGTTCTAGACTGGATTCCAACACAGCTGTGACCTGTGCAGCTCCATAGGCCCCACAGGCGGCCCCTGTCCGGGGCACTGACAGGGCTCATGCCCTGTCGGAAAGCAGCCAGCACACTGCCCCCTCCCTGATCCCTGCACAGCAGGCAGCCACGTTGGACTGCAGGGGACCCAGCAGCTGCCCAGGCCCCTTCCCCATGGACACTTGATCTTATCCTGTCACCCAGAGAGCCTCAGGCTGGAGGGGGCTCTGGCGGCAAGGAATCCTGAGGAGCTGTTCCTGGGCGGGAGCCCCTCCCCTTGAGACAGTCCTGTGGTCAGAGGGATCTGATGCCCTGGCCGTGAGTCCTCAGTGGCCTCAGCAGGAGGAGGAGCTGCATGTGCTCATCCTCCAGGGTGCCCCACTGTCCAGGAGGCCCAGCCTGAGCCTGCCAAGGGCTATGAGACATTGACGCTGGTGCCCAGTGTGCGGGATGAGCCCACCCTCCCTCGACAGTGAGATCCAGCAGTGAGTTCAAGCTGTGATCTGTCTCTGGCTGCCATGCTGGGTGAGGGTGCAGCCCCATGCCAGCTGCCCTGCACCGGGACAGGCACGGCCCACACGCCCTGAGTCTTCCCCTCCGGGCATCACCACATGCCCAGGAAACCGAGGCCCAGGGCAGTGGGCACAGCCTGGCTCCCCGTGGGCCTGGTCTGTGGCATGCTCGGCTCCACATCAGGCCGGCTCCAGAGCCTGCCATGCCCGCATCCCCCGGCTCTCTTCATGCAAACAGTTCTCATGTGAAGAAGGAATAGACAAGAGTGTGCTTGCTGTCTCGAGGCCATGAGAAGCTAAGAATGTGGTGGAGGGGGTCCCTGGAGGGCTGTATCTAGTGTGTGGGTGTACACACACACACACACACACACATCTGTCTCTGAGGCAACTTGTGTTGGCTGAAGGCTACTCTGGAAAACGAGGTATGAATTCAGAGTGAAACAAGCGCTCCCATTTCCTGAGCTGCACCCTTTACCAGCCATCTGTTGCAACAGAGGCTGGGCTCCCTCTCGGGGCTGCCCCTCCCTCACTTCCTGCTCTGGACTTCAACAAGGCCCAGTCCCCCTCTGCTCTCCACCCGGGCCTCCAAGGAGCGTCCCCGGCTGCAGGTCAGGGGAGTGGCTGTCCTCATAGATCAGGAGACCTGCTGGACTTGGGGCTGGGCCAGTTCTATTTGCCCAGAGCCCTTTACCTACAAGGAAATTTAGTGGATCTGGAGCTGGGCCAAGATTGTAACTCTCCACAGTGCTGGGGGGATGCTGGGCCTATAAAGGTAAGAGTGACTGAGGGGTGGGGGAGAAGCTCAGCAGCCTGGTCCTGTCCACTCTAGGCCAGTGCATCCTGCTCCCCCGGCTCAGAGACCTTCTCTCGGAAGCCTCGAAGAAACCAGCGGTGAGCATTTCCAGTGGTGGGTGGGGGGCTGTACAGGAGGGCAACTTTGAAACTGGAAACCTGTGCTGTTAGCTGAGGGCCCAGCCCTGTCTTGGCACCCAGAGAGCTGCTGTCAACCCCTCCTCAGAAGCGTGACTGCCCCCTAACAGCTCCCACACCCGAGCAGGGGCTCTGCGTCCTTTCCCTTTCCATGTCCCTCACGAGAGCCAAATATAGCACAGAGCTGGGGCTCCACCAGTTCTCCCCTGCTGAACGAATGGAGGGGGGAGGGACGACTGGGCGGCACTGGCTGGGCACCTGGGTCGCTGGATAGCCCTGACCCCTACGCTCTCACTTGGGCTTTGAGCAGGTGTCCAAGGAGCTGCTATGGCTTTGTCCCCCACCAGGGCATGTGTCATCACCACCTGCATCCTCACCACCTTCCTTTTCAGCACCGTGGGTAAGGAGTGCATCGAGGGCCCCTTTCTCCTGGAGCAAAGGGTGGGGTGGGAAACAGGTTCCTTGGGGGTGCCTTGGCCCGGCTTGGGACTTCAGGACCCCAGGCCCATTGTCAGAAGGCACAGCTGCTAGAAGTGTTACCTGATTGGGGGTGGCTTCCGCCGCTGAGTGACTGTTTGGCCATTGTCTCCTTGGGTAGAGAGTTACAAGTGCACAGAATGCTCTCCACTGCAGTGCACTTCCGGCTTGCAGGCAACATGTGAAGCCACTCAAGGCTGCTTCCACTACAAGCAAGAATTTAATGAATCAGGTAGGTCCTAGCCCTGCCCACGTCGGGACACGCTCAGAGCAGCCGGAGCGGGTGCTCAGAGGCAGGGGTGCCTTGCTCAGAAGCAGGATGCAGGGGCTCTGCCCTTGACCTCGTCTGTGCCCTCTGACCTCCTCACAACATGTCCAGCCTGGATCAGGGTGTGGGGTGGGGTCCTGGGCAGTCCAGAGGCCTCCACTCCTTTTCCAGCAATTCTCTCAAGTCGTCCCTCCACTGCTTCCTCCCACAAAACGGACGGTGCGGAAGGGCCTTGGAGGAGTGGAAAGGCCGGGGTGGAGAGGGGGGCGACAGAGCCCCTGCGGACACGGGTCCTGCTGTCTGCGGCTCAGACAGGAGCTCTCCTGGGGTTCGGTTCCGTGCAGGGAAAGTCCAGCAGTCCTCCCAGGAAAAAGGCTGTTCTTCCAACACCTGCACCCCACTGGCCTTCTCAGCAACTCTGGGGAATGAGCGGACATTCGGGTATGACCTCCAGTGCTGTAGCAGCGAGCTTTGCAACCAAAAGGACGTGTTCGGTGCGTGCCACTGCCCGCCCTGCTCCCCACCCGCCTATCCCCATCCACGGCTTTCAGCCTCCGTCCTCTGGGCTCCTTCCTGCCACCCAGTCGCCCACTGACTGCTGCCGATGGCCTCTCCTCCTTGGAGCAGTGTGGATGGATGCTCTGAGTGCAGGCTCTGGGACCCCTGGGGGCGTCCTCCCATGTGAGTCTGCAGCTCTGCCACTGGTCAGGGGTCTCCTCTCCTCATCACAGAGACTGTCTCCAGCCAGGGCAGGCAGGAAGAGGGAGAACTCCTTCTGATTACATTCTCCTACCCAACACCGCCCACGCCATCCTAGTTAGACACTTTCCCTAGTTTTTTATTTTTTTGGTGGGAGAAGCCCAGAAGAGTCCTGATCTGGGAGGTGGCAGACACAATGCTCCTGGCCCACTTTCCCAGTCCACTCCGTTGGGAAACATGCGTCTCTCTTCACCCAGTGTCTCAGAAGTCACCAGACCCCAACGGTGTCAAATGCCCTGCCTGCTACAGCGAGGAAAGCGTCTTCTGTGGCACCACTGACCTGCCCTGCACAGGGCGGGAGACAAAGTGCGTGGAGGTTGTCGCCACAGGTATGAGCACTCCCTGGGCAGGCTGGGGTTCACCTTCCTGAAGAACAGTGCCTCAGCTGTCTGTCACTGGGTAACCAAGCATCCTCAAATGTGGCAGCGTCAACATAACACCTTGTCTGCAGGTCCGGAGCCTGGCAGTGGCACAGGTGGGCAGTGCTAGCCCGGGGTCACTCCCGAGGTTGTCATGAAAGAGTGAGCAGGGGATGCGGACTTGGCTCACTCATCTGGACCTGGGCTTCTTCACCAGGCCTGCCATGTGTCCTATGACCTTTCAGCTGGCCTCCTGCACAGCAAGTGATAGGAGACACGGAGGGAGAGAGTGAGAGGGGACTGCAGTTTTAAAAACCCAACCTCAGAAGTGACTTCTGTTTGTGTCCTGTTAAACACACAGACCAACTGTATATAACTCGAGAGGGGTCTGCACAGGGAACGATCTGAGCACCGAGGGGTGGAACAACTGGGGTCCTGAGAGAGGCCGACCACCACACCAAGCAAGGGGTGGTGCTGGGCAGAGAGCTTGGATGTCCCTCCAAGGTTGGAAGGAAACGCTTTAGCAGGAGGGGGAAGGGGGAAGAGAGGGGAGAAGTAGAGGGGAGAGAGGAAGTGAGAGGGGAGGAAGAGAGGAGAGGGAGGAGGAAGAGAGGAGAGGAAGGGAAGGAGAAGGGAGGGCAGGGTAGAGGAGGGCAGGGCAGGGGAGCAGAGGAGAGGGGTGGAGGGGCACACAGCTGCTGCTCCCCACTGCAGACTGAGGCCTGGAATGGAACCTTGGCTCACCGGCAATGAGAGGTAACACTACCTCACTTCTAGTTGCCTTTGTCACTGCCACTGCCCCTCCCAGCCCCTCGACGAGGCCCTAAGTTTTGGCCTGGTGTCATTCTGAAATCCATAGGAGTAATGTTCTGAGTTTCAGAGTGTGATGAAGGATGTGTGTCCCATGCAGGCAGGAATTTTTCCTCTAGTATTTCCATGGTCTTTTTTCTTTCTAGACCATGCACCTCAATGGGACACTGTCTCTGCTTGTCTCTGACCAACTTTTAAAATGTTTTGTGGAATTGTGGTGTTTCAGGAGATGGCTAGACGATGGAAGAGAGAGAGTGTGGTGGGAATGAAGGCTAGTTAATGCTTTTCTTATGGATATTTTTTAAACTTCTTTTTAAAAAGATTTATTTATTTTAAATTTAGAGGTACACAGAGGAGAGGCAGAGAGAGAAAGGTCTTCCATCTGCTGGTTCACTCCCCAATTGGCTGCAATGGCCAGAGCTGTGCCGAGCCAAAGTCAGGAGCCAGGAGCTTCCTCTGGGTCTCCCATGCGGGTGCAGGGGCCTAAGGACTTGGGCCATCCTCCACTGCTTTCCCAAGCCACAGCAGAGAGCTGGGTCGGAAGTGGAGCAGCCAGGGCTCAAACCTGTGCCCATATGGGATGCTGGCACTGCAAGTGGTGGCTTTATCTATTATGCCACAGTGCTGGCCCCAGAAAATGTTGAAGGAGGGCTTGAGACTGGCCCTTTGGCAAGAAGAGCTGCGATGGAGGAGGAAGGTGGGGCATCACTCAGGATGCCGAGGGTTAGGGCTGCCGCAGAGGCACAGTCTCTCCACCCCAACCCTCTGCACGAAGTGCACCCTGTGCACACACACAGGTCCCCTAGCCCGACCTTCCAGGAAGCGTGCAGCCTGGGGAGAAGGGGTCTGAGGGGCAGGAGGATCTGCAGACCTCCGGTTTTAGCAAACACACCAGACCTGCCCTCTGGCCTTGTTCCTCCCTCACTTCTCTCCCCTCGTCGGGCCCCCAAGGCCTCAGTCTCAGCCCGGCTTCAGAGAGCGGCATCTATTTAGGGCCACTCCTAAACTGGGGAGGCGCTGGGGTCAGAAGGAAATAAGACTTGGTCGGGGTGGGACTGGAGCCATAGCTGCTGCCTTTCAGGGAACTGTGAGTGCATCTGTCTTCACCAGAGGGAGCAGGAGTGACCTGGGATGTAGGTGCGGCCGGAGGAGAGGGACACTGACTCCTGACTTTCTCCTAGCGTTTGACGGCTTAGCCATGTACGGTATGGGCTGTGCCACTGAGAATGCTTGCAACTTGAAGGGTCAACAAGTGTTGTCTGGCATAAAGATCTGGACCCGCTGCATAGACCCCAGCAGTGGGGGCCCTGCCCTGCTGTCTGCCACCTCATCGATGCTGTCCAGCCTCTTCCTGCTCAAAGTCTTCCTGTGAGCTCTCAGGCACTGCCAAGCCCATGATCCTACAAACCTGAAGATGCTGGCGTCCTCAGATGTCTCCCTTCCCCGACGTCTACCCCTCCGGGCAGAATTAAAGAGCCGGTACTTCTGTGCATGTGTGTGTGATGGCTTGTTTGTACTTCAGTCAAGGAAAAAGAGGCCTGCTCTCTCTTCTAATGGCTTCTTCACCTCAAGCAGCCCCACTCGAGGGCTCTGGGTTCCTGGCATTTACAGGAGTCTGAGTCTCCACTTTGTCACTCAACCCTCATCCTCAGCACACGTCCCAGGATGCACCTCTGTCCTGGTATTCTTGGTTTCTGCTCCCAATCTTGGACTGCGTTGCCGGGAGACTCATTCTGATCGAACGCTTCAGAGCCCAGGGGTCCCTGCTCGCAGCTCATGAAGCCCCAGGCATAACCGCATCCCCACCGCCTCAGCACCTCGTGTGTAGAAGTCTCCCCATGTGCTCTGCGACCCTCTGCTCCCCGGGATGGGTGGCCACTGGGGAGGACACAGGCAGAGGCAGTCGCTTTAGCATTAAGTTCAAAGAATGGGGGTGGTCCCCTCAGGAGCCCAAAGAGCTGTGCCCTCACTCACAGGGCTGGAACCATGGCAGCCACAGCTGCGCTCCCCATGGTGCCTGTGAAGAGGGTTCAGCAGGGCAGGCCCTTGCAGGCCTCAAGCCAGTGCTGAACCCCAGTGAAGGAACCCTTGATCTGCTCACAGGGACCCTGGCTTCTCCAGTTTCCCACACAGGAGCTACCCCCTGTTGTTGCATCAAAGAAAGGAATGCCCCAAGGCTGCTCCTCCTCTGTGGGTCTGTAAGACTGGGGCTGCCTCTCTCCCTCCCAGGCCGGGTCTCACCCTGAAGCCCCCTAGGCATGCAGCTGGATGGCATCCCTCTGCCCACCGAGGTTCTGTGGCCCAAGGGAGAGCTTGGCTCCAGGACTGGGTCACCGTGTCCTTCCTGCATGGCCCTCTGTGCTTGGTGACTGTGTAAGGTGGCCCTTGTCCCTAGGGGGACTGAGTTTCGGTATCAGTAAGATCAGCCCTCGGGGCTGGCGCTGTGGCACGGGTTAGGCCTCCACCTGCAGGGCTGGCATACCATGTGGGCACCTGTTCGAATGGAAGATGGCCCAGGTGCTTGGGCCCCTGCATCCACTGGATCTGGAGGAGGCTCCCGACTTCAGATCGGCTCAGCTCCGGCTATTGAGGCCACTTGGGAAGTGGATGGGGGACCTCTCTCCTTGTCTCCCTCATTCTGTCTATAATTCTCTCAAATAAATAAATAAATCTAAAAAAAAAAAAAAAGAGATCAACCCTTCGCTGATGACTAGAGTGTCCATTCAAAACACTGTCCCAAACAGGAATGCCTACATGGACCACACTGTCAGCAAAAAGATAAGCTCTTTGTGAACCACTGAAAGACCAAGGGCTTCGTTACGCTGAGCAGCCAGTCCTGACTCAATTCATGGCAAGAGCAGCAGAGACCAGCCAAAGAGGTGGCTCGATCGTCCAAGAAACGCAGCCTCAAGGAACCCCCCAGACTCATGGTTCTTGTCTTCTACCTGAGAGGGGACGTCTGCTGGCTTGAACAGGCTGGAGCATCCAGAACACACGTAGTCCACCTGGGCTCTAAGCCAGGGAGTGGGCAGAGGGCTTCTCTTAGCCAGGCCCTTCCGCCGAGACTGAGGGACACCCGATGTGGGAACAGCATGTGGTTTGACCGCTTTTGCTGGTTTCTCCAGAGCAGAGACGGCAGCTCTGTGATGGTACCAGGTCCCACGCCCAGCTCCTCTTTGTTTTCCAGCCACAGAGCAGCTGATCTGGGTGGTGTGGTGGTCCTTGCAGTCTTCTGTCTGTCCCCCTGGGAGTCAGCTCCTCTTTCCTGGGAGGAGGGTGCTGGACTGAGGGCCGCTGACCATTCCTGGCATGCCAGGAAGGTTGAGTGGGTGCCAGTCTCTCTTCTAAGCACTTGACCAGGATCAACTCAGGTGAGCTCAGAAAAGTCCAATGACCACTTTACAGATGGGGCAACTGAGGCACCAAGAGGCCAGCGACCCAGCCCAGCTGGGAGAGTTGAACCCAGTTTCCTAGAAAGAAGCAGGCTGCCCAGTTTACTGGCTGCATACGTTTAGAATGCAGTAACATTTTTTTAATAGCTTGTATTTGTTTTTCATTTACGTGATAATTATCACAAACTCTGTGGCTTAAAGCAACACAGATGTGCCACTTCAGGGTCCTGGAGGCCGCCGACGCGGATCACAGGGTGGCTTCTTGGAGCTCCAACGCCAGAGCTTTCGGGGTGCTCTGGGCCGGGCCACGTGCTGCTGGCCAGGAGTGGCTGCGGCCGACTGTATCGCTAGGGCGCGAGCTCTCAGTGCACAGTGGGGTGGCCACGGGAGCTGGCCAGACCTCGGCTCTGGGATGTGCGCAGCAATGGAACGGACCGGCGGCCGTACCATGTATGGACAGCCACCGCGGAAGGCACAGGTGCCCGCCGAGCAGCCCCGGAGCAGAGCGCGCTGTGTGGGCTCGTGCAGTTACAGTGGGTCAGGAGCTGGAGCTGGAGCTCTGGCACCGGTAGAAAGACTCGGGCACGCTGTGGTGTCGGTGTTACCAGTCCATATGGACTGGGCCAGTGTAGCTACCTAAGCGGATCTACAGTCTGGTGTGTGTGGGTCGGCGCATGCTGGGGCCGGGAGAAGGGGCAGCTCCCTTCCTGAAGCTGCTCCTGGGCGCAGGAGGGTGGCTGCGTCTCCCTCGCTAGGGTTCCCTGGCAGGAGTGGCTGTTGGTGAGCATATTAGTCTGCTTTTTTATAGCCAAGAGCAGAATACCACAGACTGGGTAAGTTTTAATGCAGAGGTTTATGGTGGCTCAGAGATCCTGAGACCCCAGGACGAAGGGCTGTATTTGGTCCCAAGGTTCATGACCTGGTGAGAGATGGGGAGCACAAGTGACCAGCAGCTGGTGTGTCCTCTGTGGTCTCTCTGTTCTTACAAAGCCACCAGGATTCAGTCACTCCTGATGACCTCGGCGAATCCAACTCATGTTCCAGAGGCCACCCTCTGTTTCCACCCTCCTGCTGCCTCACAATGTGGATTAAACTTCGGCCCATGAAACTCTGGGGCCCTCATTCACATCATATCCAAGCCCAAGCAGTCATCTGGCAGCAAAAGGTGCTGGTGCCTGCTGCTGGAGACCCTACGGTCCCCAGCACATGGGTGATGCCAAAGCCCCCATATTCCTTTCTTGTTTCTAGCCATCTCCTGGCATCTCAGGCAGGCTGAACCCACCAGTGGCCTTTTCTTTGTAGATATTCTCTATTTTTTCCTCCTTTGCATTTCTGAATGGGCCTCTGGGAGTCATTATGATTAGTGGATAGCAGTCTACATTTGGTTTTATGTGAGGGCAAAGAAGGTTGTTCTATTCTGCCATCTTGTGGACATCTCTCTCCTGATGAGACTTTAAAATGAAATTCATCCAAACTAAGTTACTTAATTCTTGTGTCTACTTGGCATTATTATTATTTTTTTGTTTTTAAGGATGTTTATTTATTTGGAAGGTAGAGTTACAGAGAGGCAGAGGCAGAGAGAGAGAGAGAGAGGTGTTCAATCTGCTTGTTCACTCCCCAGATGGCCACAACAGCCAGAGCTGTGCCAATCTGAAGTCAGGAGCCAGGAGCTTCTTCCAGGTTTCCCACATGGGTACAGGGGCCCAAGGACATGGGCCATGTTCTACTGCTTTCCCAGACCATAGCAGAGAACTGGATTGGAAGTGGAGCAGCCAGGACTCGAACTGGTGCCCAAATGGGATGACGGCACTGCAAGGAGCGGCTTTACCCACTACACAACAGCGCCAGCCCCTATTATTTTTCTTCAATATTTATTGAGTCAGAGTTCCCATACATCAGTTAACTCCCTAAATGGAGGGTTGGGCAAGCCAGAGCCAGGAGCAAGGAATCTGATGCTGGTCTCTCATGAGGTTGGCAGGAATCTGCATACTTGAGCCACCATCTGCTGCCTTCTGGGATGTGTGTTAGCAGGAAGCTGGAATTAGGAGCCAGAGCTGGGTATAGAATCAAGGAACTCAGATGCAGGATATGGGTATACTAACTGGTGGCTTACCTGCTTGCTAGGTCAAAGGACTACCCCATCCATTTAGTAACATAATGAAACAGCTATTGCAAATTTTGAAAACCCATGTGTAACTTTAACAATATCAGCAAAGTGTTTTAATGTTTGTATTGCCACCTTACATATATTATTTATTATAATAAAAATCTTCTGGAGCTGGCCTTGTGGTGTATTGGGTAAAACCATGACCTGCAATGCTGTCATCCCAATATGGGTGCTGGTTCATGTACCCACTGCTCTACTTCCAATCCACTTCCTGCTAATGGCCTGGGAAAAGCAGTGGAAGATGGCCCAAATGCTTGGGCCCCTGTACCCATGTGGGAGACCCGGAAGAAACTCTTGTCTTCTGGCTTTGGCTTGGCCCAGCCCTAACTGTTGCAGCCATTTGGGGCGTGAACCAGCTGATAGAAGATCTCTCTTTCTCTCTGTGTATATCTCTCCCTCTTTCTCTGTAACTCTGCCTTTCAAATAAATAAATAAATCTTTAAAAATAGTGGCTGAAAATTAGACTACCCTGGGAGCGAGGAATTAAAATAAAAGCAAGCAAAGGCCAAAAACAAAGGGTGGTGGCGGTAGGACCAGCCTACACCCAGATCAACTGATTCCAAATTTCTGGCAGAGGGCCTGTGATGAGGATGCTAGTTTCAGGCTCTCTGATGATTCTAATGAGCAGCCAGGGGGTGATAACCAGAGAATACCGCTTTCAGACCATGGAGCTAAAGGAACTGCTTTCTACCACAGAGCAAGCCTTTGCTCAGCACAAGTCCTCTGTGTGCTCCCAGGGGTAGCACCTTCCACGGCTCACAGAAAGACACATCCAGTCAGGCCCATCTAGGAGTATTTACCAATACTCACGGACTACCCACTGCCATCCACCTCAGCTACTGCCCCTTGGCTTCTGCCCACTTCCCCATCTCCATGTCTCAAGTCATACAACTCCTGCTGCCATGTAGTGCAGGTCTTCTCAAGGTCATCCAAAGTCTCAACTTTTCCCCAAATCCATATCCTCCTATCTTGTGTCCAAAGCAATGACCCTTGGCTACTTGAGCAGCATCCTACTGTTCTTGTTGGTGCTTCATGTGTTGCTCTCTAAGCATTTTACCTGCATATGTCCTCAGTTTCTGAAGGCAAGGGCCCAGTACTGACTGATTTTCACCCTGACTGACTTTGTGTGAGGCTGGGTACACAGCTAGATCTTGCTGAGTTAATGCATGCACAACAGATACACCTATGGAGAAGTTAACAGTCATTAACAATCTACGAGTATAAACAAACAATGCAAGTTTAATTCACAAATGCAGGTGGCTGGGCCCTTGCAGGAGCTCAGTGAAGCAGCTTCCCCAGGAAGAGAACAAGGAAGATGGGAGCTGCTGGTCTGCCTCTGGCCCCATTTTTGATGGCTGATTTGCAATTCCTAGTCCCATTAGTAACTGGAAAACCCACATAAGAAGTTATCATCTCTTTGCATAGTTCTGCTCGTATGCACTTCTTCACTTTAATAGTCATGTTGCTAATACCTGTAAGAAACCATACATGAGACTTCCACTCTCTTCTTCCCTCCTTATCCTTTGCCTTTACCCAGACTGGTATGGATTAAAATATAAATGAGAGCACACTCCTGTGTGAGTGGCAAGAGTGACCTGGTTATCTCTAGCAGGGACATGAGTTGGAATGGTATTCTCCAAACACTGGGCCTCAAAATCCTCACACCCTCTCACAGCTCCTCACAGTGAATCAGATAGTGGGGGTATTTTCTAAGCTTTATGTAGATGAATGCATTTCCAGCTCCCGCCATCAGTTGGCAACCCAGCCTCTGTTTTCTAATCTTCTCTAATTCTAGGTCTGAGTTATCATTTAAGAATACCAATGGCCACGAAGAAGGCCTAGTTCAGACTGTGTTTCCTTTCTACACCATCTTTCCCACGGCTGGGACTCTGCTGTTGATGCTTTCACCTCACCTCTATTGTTGTTTTAAAGCAAAGACTTGGTGTTGGGCAAATTGTGCAAAGTACAAACATGAGGATGCAAGAGGCAAATAACATGGCTGGGCACAGCAGTTACCTCCCAGTGAGGAACTTGAGGAAGGCGGAGCTCCCTCAGAAGGAAGCAGAAGGAAGTGGAAACAACCCAACCCTCACGGAACTTTGCCCACTGCACTTCAAGCTATCCCATGCTACCAGTTTTCATTCACTTCTCATTTATATCTTCAGTTAATTTAGAACTTTGTACCAGGTTTTCTTAAGTGAGCATAGTGAAGCGTTCTCCTTTGATTCCTTTGAAGAAAGCTTAAGTTCAATCATCCCCTGTCTCCAAACATTTTACGCTGAAAATGAAAATAATCCAGAGGCAGGAAAACACAAATTGCCTATGTCTTAAAAACAAACAAAAACTACTCAAAGTTTGCCGAAGATGAAGGCTAAGCAGTATGTTGAACTAACTCCCTCAAAACTATGGAGCCCATCAATAAATCCATGTATAAAGCCATAAGTCAATTACTGTGAGAAAGCAATTGGCCATATTTTCAAAGTCAGGATACTGCTCTGTCCTCATTTCTAAGCTATTTGTACAAAAGCTGGTTTCCCCTCAACTTTGCTGTGTGCCCCGTAAGGTTGTGACAGTGTCACACGCTCAGCGTCTACAAAATAGCGCCTCCTAGAAAAGTACCTGTGTTTATGATGCCCAAGAATTCAAAACAGTTTATTTGATCTGCTGCACACCATTTGAATTCTACATGACATTTTCTTCCCTGTACTGCAATACAAGTTGGGCATTTAAAACCACTGGAACTGAATTCATCAACATCCTTCTCCTCTAGGTCACGCATCTGAATCTCCCAGGAGACTGTTAGGAAAACAAAAGACAGAAAACTGAATGGCTTTTGCCGCGGGCAGGCAAACGTTCCCACCCTCTCAGAACAACTCCAGAACCAGAGCTACCCCGCCATCCTCCCCCGTTCCCGACCCCTGCACTCACAGGAACCAGGAGCTGGCGGGAATGTGGGCCGCGCACGCCGATGCCGGCTGCACGTGGGAGCGAGGGGCGGGAAGACCCCGGTCTCTCACCTGCCAGCAGGGGCCCGAGGGCCAGGCTGCAGGCCAGCAGGAGGCGGGGCGCAATGGCGACGGGGCGCATGGCCGCGCGGTCCCGACGCTCTGTGGACAGAAGCTGCTCGGCTCAGCGCGGCCGTGCGAGGGCGCGAGGCGCCGGCCCTTCGCTGTCCCCACGCGTGCTCCTCGCGAAAGACTGCTCCCACCTGGGCCGGGGAACCTCCGCCCACCGGCTCCTTTCCACAGGGCGTGAGGTGCAGGCCACGCCGGAGCCAGCAGAGCGAGCGGCCGCCCCGTCTGCTGCCACGGCTCCGCCAACCCAAACCCGCCAACCTGCCCAGAGACACTGCGCATGCGCAAATCGTGGGGGCGGGCCTCGCGGCTGGCTAGCTAGCTCCCATTGGCCGTCACTTCCGGCTCTTCCTGCTCTCTCGGAGCCTGGGCCAATGAAGTTCCGGCGGCTACAGGCCCACGTGACGGAAGAACCTGAAGGGCTGTTTCCTGAGCTGTGAGAGCTGGGCGGGCTCGCAGGCCTTCGAAGCCCTGGCTCGCGGGCGCCGTTCCCCTCCGCCCTCGTGAGGCCGGCCTGTTCCCTGCCCGCCCTTAGCGCCTGAGGAGAGGGTGCCTGGGAAGTCCGGTGCTGGCCTCTCAGGGGTCAGTGCGCGCAGCGCGGCTGTGGGCCGCGGAGGAGCTCGTCAGGCCCACCCGGCCGGCCTGCTCAGCTGGTCCGCAGCCGCGCGGTGCCTGGGACAGACGCGTGTCGCCCGCGGGCGTCGAAGCCGGCAGGACCCCCGTGGACGGGAGTGCAGGAGTGTAGGAAGCCTTCCTGTTCCCATGGCTGCTGTGAGGCCTCGCTTCTCCGGCAGTTGTGGAAACCGTGCTCCTTTGTGGGAGCACCCTGAGTATCTATGGAAAGGTAAGTGGGAGCGGAGCGTGCGATATATTTATAGAGCAGTGTAATCGGCCCGTAAGCGGAGGGAGCTCTCGTCACAGCCTCCGCCATGGCCGAACGTGAGGACGTGATGCTGATGCCGTCAGTCAGTGACGAACACCGACGCTGCAGGATTAGACTTGCGGAGGGAGCTAAAGAAGTCGAACGTTCAAAAAACTAGGATGGCAGCTGCCAGGGGCTGGAAGGGGAGGAGACGAAGAGGAGTTGAATTCGATGGGTGCAGTTTCAGTTTTGCAAAATGAAAAACTTTTAGAACTGTATAACACACCTAGCAAGTAGAACCAGCAGTGCTCTAAACATCCTGCAGCGCATAAGACAGCCCCTTCCCAACCGCAAGAAAGAATTACCTGGCCCAGTGTGAAGAAGGCCCACCCTGAGAAACCCTCTGTTTGCCCGGTCAACTCAAGACCACTGAGGACAAAGCTGTAGGCTGATACAGTGATGTTTCTTGGTTCGAGGAACTGTGGGGGCACCTCCCTAAAGACTTAGGACAGCATAATAATGTGACTGTATAGCGAGTGTGTGCAGACAGCCTCTGTTTGTCTCTTTAACCATCACCTTTACTCAAATGCACAGTAGAGCCCATGGCAGGGAGGGGAAACATACAGTGAGCACAGCTGAAAGCGGTCCAGGAGAGTAGAGTTAAATGGCGGCACATTTCTAAAAGGTTAGGTGGTAGATGCTTCAGTCTTGGGGAAGGTTTTGGTAGTTGTTCAGGGATTTTTTTTTTTTTAGCCTTTTCTGAGTCTTCCCCATATACCCCCCATCCCCTCATTTTCTTCTTAGGAAGAAGTATCTTCTGTGCCTGAAGTTTGCAGTTCAGTGGTTTCTGGAGTTCAGCTTCCTGCATCTTTAGATCTTGGCATTCCCCATCTGTAAGAGAGCTAGGATTCCCCATGTTTCTTCTTTTCTTCTTCTTCTTCTTTTTAAAGTTTTCTGTTTTGTTTCTATTTTTTTTTAAAAGACATTTATTTATTTGAAAGTCAGAGTTACACAGAGAGAGGAGAGGTGGGGGGAGGGGTGTCTTCCATCTGCTGGTTCACTCCCCAGATGGCTGCAATGGCTGGAGCTGCACCGATCCAAAGCCAGAATCCAGGAGCTTCTTCTGGGTCTCCCACGTGGGTACAGGGGCCCAAGGACTTGAGCCATCTTCCACTGTATTCCCAGGCCACGGCAGAGAACTGGATTGGAAGTGGAGTAGTCGGGTCTCGAACCGGTGGTCATATGGGATGCCGGTGCTTCAGGCTAGGGCGTTAACCCACTGTGCCACAATGCTGGACCGCTACTGTTTTTCCTACTTTGTATGTGATGTTTTCTGTGTGTTCTTCAATTTATGCTGATTTCGCTACAGTCTGTATGGACTGAGATTCATCATTTAAAGCTTTGTACCAAACCTCTTTCGTAATCAAAATAATTAATATTTGGCTGTATATTTCTACTCTCACCTAATGTCAAGCTGGAATGGTCCTCAGAGACGGGTAAGACGCTCAGCATCCTGTACCAACCTAAGACAGGGCTCTAGGCCAAGCTGCCAGAGTTACCAATGACAGGTAAGGACAGAGATGACTGAGGGCAACCTAAGACAGAGGCCATTCTCAAATAAAAAAAGGGGAGATGTAGGCAGCCCGTAAACAAGTCATAGACAAGTCAAGGTCAATCTTGGCTTGTGGAATTCCTGGGATGAGACAGGCACATACTCCCATGTTGAAGGAGAATGATCAAAAAAGAACACTCTGCTAAAATTAACTATGCTATGACTGTGCTGTAGAAAGCCCGATAAGTTGCTTGCATGTGTTGTTAACGTCTGTGTTGCCTTGAGCTGTAGCTAGTTGTGTATAAAATATCACTGAGACTAGAATGAACGACCCTTGATCAGCTTTGTTGTCTTGGCTCCATTCTCTGCGCCCTTGTCCCTCTTTTCATTCCCACTCCCTCCTTCAGGTTCCGTTCGACTGGTGCAGCTGGCCCGCACAGTTAGGGATATCTTAAGGTTGTTGAAATTGATTATGGTATCTCTTTTTGGCATCTGCTTTGTGTCACTTAAGCCTTGGAGAAGTAAAAGCATGGCCTATTTTGGAGGTCCGAGGCTGCGTTCAGGGACTATCCATTCCTCCTCCCTTCTTTTTCCTCTTTCATACCCACCTAACATTCCTTCCTCTCCTCCATGTTTTCTTTTCTTTGATATTGGTTGAGACACTGCAGTGTGTCCATGCAATATCAGGCACTGTGGAATACAGTAAACTGAGAAACATAGACTCCCTGCTCTCATGAGGCTTACTGTACCATGAGAATATAGATTTAATTGAGGGACTGAGGGCTAGGAAGGAACTGGGAACATGTGGAAAGGAATCTGCTTTTGTTTGGATGTCAGATATGGCTGCCTTGTGGGGACAATACCTGAGCTTAGAAAGGGAGGATGTGTAGTACTTAAGCACAGAGGAGTGAGCAGTATCCCAGACAGAGGATCAGCTCTGGTAATGACCTGGAAGCAGGAAGGAACAGGGGAGAGAGCTATGGAGGAGTGAGATGAGGACAAGGAGGCTGAGCTCTGCTGGACTTTGTAGACAACGGAAAATATGATATGCAATAATGTAGTTGTTCTTTAATGACTAATGTATTTTTACTATGTGTGAAATGCAAGCACAAAACTACTTGCCCTCATGGAGCTTACTTTGTCATAGGGGAAGGTGGGCAGGAAGTAATTAAAGAATATGTTAGCTGATGATATATGTGAAGAGCCATGCTAAAGGGATTTATTTATTTTTCCAAAGAAACTTTTTATTTAAGAAACACAAACTTTATGCATTTCATAAGTACAACTTTAGGAATATAGTGATTCTTCCCATCCACCCACATTCCCACCCCTCCTCTTCTTCCCTTTCCCATTCCCAGTCCCATTCTCCACTAAGATTTATTTTCAATTGACTTTACACATAGAAGACCAACTCTATGCTAAGAAAAGGGTTCAACAATTTTCACCAAAAAAAGGAAAAAAGAAAAAATGCTCCGCAACAGTGGAGACAAGAGCTGTTCAAAGTCACTGCATCTTGAAGTTAATTCCACTTTTTTTTTAGAAACTTAATTAATTTTAAAGAAGCACCAAGAATGATAACATCTTTTATAAGCACAGACATAACTATAACTTATGAGACATCAGCGTTTCCTCCACTTAATACATTAAAAGAAAGTAAGTCCTTGAGAACAAGTTTTACCATTAAGGAAGCACCTAGGGAAACAAGCAATGGAGTTGGACACTTAGGCATAACTAAAACTTATGAGACAAAGAATATCTTCCACTTAATACACTGAAATGAAATAAAGCTTTGAGAACAAGTTTTACTGTTAATTCTCAAATAAAACTCTTTGAGGACACAGATCCTGCATGGGAAGTTAGTGCACAGTGACTCCTATTGTTAATTTAGCAATTACCACTCCTATGTATGATGTCAGTGATCACCCGAGGCTCTTGACATGAGCTGCCTAGGCTATGGAAGTCTTTTGAATCCACAAACTGTTAGTGTTTAGACAAGGCCATAAGCAAAGTGGAAGTTCTCTCCTCCCTTTAGAGAAAAGTACCTCCTTCTTTGATGACCATTTCTTTCCTCTGGGGTCTCACTCAGCGAGGTCCTTCATGTAGGACAGTTTTTGCCATAGTGTCTTGGCTTTCCATGCCTAAAATGCTCTCGTGGGCTTTTCAGCCAGACCAGAATGACTAAAGTGCTGATTCTGAGGTGAGGTCAGAATATTATTAGCTGGCGATATATGGTAAGAGCTATGCTAAAGGGATTTAGTGAAGGTTAAGGAGTAGGGTTGGTACATGCATTTAGATTTGTATTTAGAGATCCTTTTGGTTACTTCTTGGAAAATAAGCTGTGTATGTGTATGTGGGGGTGAGGAAAGAAAAGAGGCAGGAAGATCTGTTTGGAAATTACCACATCATCCCAGTGTAAGGAATGACTATTTAGAAATTCTTGCATCATTTAGATAAGGAATATTTGGATCATGGTGTTAGTGGCAGTGGTTTTTTTTTTTTTTTTTTTTTTTTTTTTGACAGGCAGAGTGGATATATAGAGAGAGACAGAGAGAAAGGTCTTCCTTTTCTGTTGGTTCACCCCCCAATGGCCGCTACGGCCAGCATGTTGTGGCCGGCACACCACGCTGATCCGAGGCCAGGAGCCAGGTGCTTCTCCTGGTCTCCCATGCGGGTGCAGGGCCCAAGGACTTGGGCCATCCTCCACTGCACTCCCAGGCCACAGCACAGAGTTGGGCTGGAAGAGGGGCAACTGGGAAAGAATCTGGTGCCCCGACTGGGACTAGAACCCAGGGTGCTGGCACCGCAGGTGGTGCTGGCCTGGTAGTGTTCTGGAGGAGTGTACCCTGTGGAAAGAAA